TGCTCTTCCGATCTATTTTTTACGCGATTTCCTGCTAAACGGCTGGAGCAACAAAATTCGGATTAGAGCAACTAATTAGTAACAAAATAGCACTAAATTTTTTATTAGGTCCGAACTTAATTTGCGATGATGGGGGGTCCAGCTTAATAGGGGTTAACAACCACCCGTCTAATTCTTACATCCGTCTTATATCCTTTAAATTTCCCGCAATTTACCACTCGAAGCAGGGTTTAAGTCAACTTCATGTTGAATACATAACCTTATGGGTGAGAAGGGTGGTGGGACGGGGCAACTAGTGGTCCATGATTATATAGTCAAAGGATAATACAGATGACTTCACATCTTAAAATTTTTAGGCCAATATTCATAGTTCTTATATTTAAGACTATTCTAAGTACACTTTAAAATATCATAAATCAATCACAAAACCGTATATTAACCCTTAACATCTCAAAAGACATTCTTAAGATAAGAATCGACTATGAATACCGGCTTTAGAAAATCTATTTTAAAACACTTTTTTGTTAACATTTGTCCGATAATCAAACTACAGTGCTTCAAAAAATAAAACATAAAAACATAAATTTTCGATTTATGTAATTTAGGAAAAATATCATAGAAACGAAATTTAAAAAAAATCTATCTCTAGAGATGAGCTGTATTTCTCTTCTTTAAAATACATTTTTAAAAACAACATTTTTTTCGTCGAGATATTTAATTTTTTGTAAAATACTTTTTTTGTAAAATATTTTTGTAAAATGAGAAAATCGTTCTCGAACGGTGTATATTCATATTATTTAACCTTCCGTCGGTAATGCAAAAATTCCAATCTAGGTTCCCAAAGTTCGCAGCAGATTTTTATTGTTTAGCACTATATAAAAATCTAAAATAATTCATGTATACTTGAAAAAAGTATTTTAACAAATTTTTACCATATAAGAAAGTTCTTTTAGGACCAAAAACTTTAAGATTTATATTTATTCTTTAAAATTCACAATCGAAAAATCGACTGTGCCGTAAAAGATCCAGATTGCCGATGGAAAGTTAAGATCATAATTTCAATAAATATTCCAAAATAAAAAAGTAACATTTTCTTCAATACTTTATTTCCTTGCAACATTTTTTATTAATTACGAAAAGTTAATTTTTATTAATTAAGAAAAGTTAATTAGAAATCAAGGTAATTATCAAGGTTAGTTAAAAGTCTATTGACTAATTGTAAATAAAGATGAACATTTATCCTCTTACAATTTAATTTTTTTTTAAAGAAATTTTTGATTAATATATTTTTTATTGTGCTTAAAATATATTTATTCAAAATAATCATTTTCAAGTATTGCTAAAAGTTTTAAATATTAGAGGGCGAATGAAATTTAATGTTCAATTTTTTTAAATTATAATTATGCAATAATGTAAATATTATAAATATGATTTATGTTAAAAACACATTGTTTTCGTTAGATAATAATCCTCAATGTGTACATGTGCTCTTCTGAAAGCAATTTTTATAATAAGTTTTATCAAAACAATAATTACTTACCTATTTTACCGTTGGGGCTGTACGGATCGTAACTGCCAGTGCTCATGGGACTCGCGTATCCATTATTGCTAACTTGCTGTTGTTGATGCGCGAGTGGACTGGAGTGGGCCATATGAGGTTGTTGTTCCGACAATTGCTGCTGAGAAGTGGAGTAAACCACGTGCTGATTCGGTAATGAGTTCTGCGGCGATTCCGGACTGTTCGTCGCTAGCCAATCGTCTGACTTAGCTCTCTTATTGCTGTTAGCGATACCGGTAAAAAGATTATTTCCGGTGCCGATCGGCCCAGTAGCAACAGTAGTCACCGTCGCAGGTGACGTTGATGTTCCTGCCAGATGATCTGGCCTCTCGGCCTTAACCAATGTCAAAGCTGCGGCGTTGGCGACGACAGAGGCAATGGTACCGACGCCTGTAGCAGCGGAACCACTGTTGTCAGTGTCCATATTCGAATCACCACTGGTATCCATACTGGGAGTTATCGTCGCTGTCTTCGTGATCGTCGTCGTGGTTGATAGATTAATTGCTCCTCTTAACCTGGATGGGGCTGCCAGGACGACATCCCCCGTAACAACAACCTCCGACCCTTCATTGTAACGCACTGCTACATTGCCACTTATTAAATTGGAAACTGTGACAGATCCCACTTCCGGTCCCGTAATATTAGATATTTTCTTGTCGTTTTTGTTTCTAGTTAATGTTTTCCCTTGTTTCCTCTTGTTTTTACTGGAGCTTACAGTTTTTATATTGTATATGTAATATGTATATAGAAACAGAGAAACCGAGAGAATTCTAAATTTTCTCAATTATGTTATCCTTTCAGTTGTTTTTTTTAGCGACAAAAGAATACTTTCAATAAGTTTGTCGTGTTGCAAACAATCCTTAAGTTTTCCAATTAATGATTAATAAAAGCACCGATGTATTTACATGTATATCAATATATCACTAGAATATCATTAATAACGAAAGAATTAATAGTTTAAAATTATTCGATATTGAATTATTCAAACTTAAGCTTCAGATAAAATAATCACAGCCTTTAACGCATTTTTGCGCGTGTGTTCGTTATAGTATCTTCATAATTGAAGTTGTTGCCTGCTGTTGTCCCGAAAAATCTGCAACACGAAAGAAAATATTTCTTTAATTCATATTATTATACAACATATTTGCTAACTATAATTAATTTTGTAATCATATATTAACATTTTTTTAAATATATAAAAAGAAATGTTTTTTTCCATAAACAATTTTTAATATGCTTACACATATAAGATTTGTCGCATGATTCTACTTTCTGAATGTCTATCTAGCCCCACCCGATTAAAAGTTAACGAGAATGAATTATATAAAATACGCCCTTCACAAAAATTCACAAAAAATTTTTACAATTGTTTTATTTAGTTTAAAAAATTTCTTTTATTTCTGACGTCAAGAAAGAAGTAGGTAGGGGGGGGGGGG